ATTAGTATTATTATTTGATTTCCTTTCGAAATAAAAATTAAATTTGAAAAATATTGGTGTGTAACATTATAGTAGATTGTACAACAAGTGCATAGAACGCGTCATTTTACCCGAGATGAGTATATACATATATATATGGATACTTAAGTCGTGGGTAAAATGGGTTTTATGATCGAGTTATACACTCTGCTTTTCGCTTCGATTGCGAGGAAATTAAACAGCAATATTACAAATAAACGATTATTTTATTAAAATTGAATGTAAAATTACAACAATTAGACATATTTAATGTGATGGTTTTTTTATTTTATGCACTAGAGCATAAAAAACTATTTTATGCACTAGAGCATAAAATCAAAATACTTATTTGTAACGATTAAAAGTTAAGTTGAACTTATTTATTTACATATATCTCTTCAATGTTTTATTTGTTTTTTATTCAATAGTACATATGAAATAATTTATGCTTAGATAAATATACGCGATGTTTATTTCGTAAATTTGTAACAACGACATCTATTATACTCCTTGGCGACACTAACATTTGACTATAATTCCGAATTCACAACGTGACAATCAAGGCTCAGCTAGTTTTGTTTATTTTTTCTCATGAAAATGCGGAAAAATAATTAAATACAACGTAATTTTAATACATTTCATTATTTCATAATATTTTTTTTTGGCAGTTTCTAATTTTTTGAATGTAAATAATATCGAGTACTTTAACATTACACTACGATAGGACGATTCGAAATATCAAAAAAAAAAGAGATGGCATTATAAAGTTTATATAGCGTTATTTCTTTCCTCATTTAGTAAGGTATAGACAATATTGGGAAATCATTCGTTCTTTCAGTCACTTTAGTAATAATACATTACTTGGTTGATAGGTTTGTCATGGTACGACTATGAGTAATATTATAATGAGCTTACATTGAAATAAGATTGTTTTTTGAAAGGTTATGGTAGGCCCCCTGTTGTTCAACACCACTCGTTTTGGTGCGTTTCGAAGAACGATTATAGAATAAAATTGAAAAATCCGCGTACATGACTGCTCATTTATTTATTTATTGAAAGATACACATCAACACACACATCAACATTATACAAAACAATTTAAAAAACACACAAACAATTTAAAATAATACACATACTTTCGCCATTTAAGGTGATAAGTCGCTACAGGCGGCAGCTCCAAAAATTTAGAGTTAACAAGTGAAATCCAAGAAACATAGTTAAAGATGTAAAATTACAGCAATAATTAATTAAAACAGATGTAAAGATCAAAACAATTGCTCGTACATACGTATAAACTGCTTAGTGTTATTTATGACTTGACCTTTAGGCCAACCACGACCCTGATGAAAAAAATTATGTATCCTGAGTTAGTTAGTTACCTTAAGATAGGTTTTTTATTTTTAAATTTAAGTAATGATTTTTTAAATATTATATTTTGTATCAATTTCTATGTCATTTACCACCTTAGGTAAGTTAGGAACTAAGAGTAGAACGTATCCGGTACAACTGTTTCTGGGTCACAGTCAAATCATTGTATGACTGTTCATGACCCTATTCAACGGGGCATACTTTCCGAGATTAGTTCGACTACTTGACGAAACAAATGTTTTGATAATATAGAATTTAGGCTTTCTGAGACGAACATTTAATTTGATGACTAGAAAACGAGTAAGTATTATAAAAACAGGCAAAACGAGTTTATGTGTAATTTTAACATTTTATGTAATACTTTTAATCTGGATCTTTTCAATTCGAGTTAATCAAATTATGCACCCAGAGTCCTTATTATACTTCTATTTGTGAGGATGTTTACGGCTCTTAGTTGTTATTATTATTATTTAATTTAGTTTTAGACGATGATCTTCCTTTTTAACAAATAATCGAATTAAATGGACTTATATAATATATCACTAACTTTTAACAAAAAAGTTTAGTAGCAGTAGAGCACCTTGTGAAAGAGTTCGTCCAAGGAAGTACTGCCACCTTACCTATTTCTGCAGCCAAGCAGTAATATGAACATTACCGCGGTTCGGTTTCGAAGGGTAAGGGTGCTGGTGAAATTACAGGCATATGGGACTTGTCAACTTATGTTTTATTTCTTGTATAATTTCTTGATAGTTGATAGTTTCGGAGAAAAAAAATATTAACTATTTTTTGTATGGAGGAATATACATTTTATTTTTTATCTCAAAACATACGAAAATGTAATGTGGTTACTTACAGTATAGTTCCAATCATTTCCTATGTAGATAAAAATAACCCGTCTGCATGTACTTGCGCAACTTTGTAAGTAAAGGTGCGGCAAAATTGCTAACTGTTATAAGTACTTTTATATGATGATAGTCGACAAGTTATTCCTATGTCCAAGAATTATCAATTTGGGCCCACTGTGTGTCAGACGCAGTGGCAGTGCCACTCAGATATTTGTGGTTAAAGCTCTGAGTAGCACTGCAATTGTTAGGGACAGGCGTGTCGCTTACCACCAGGCCCACGACTTGTTCGTCCTGTTACTTAGTATACCTAATAAAAAAAAGTTGTAAAATAATATAAATATTATAGGCTAAGTTACTAAAAATAATCTGAAATATCTATATTATAGTTGTTTAGCTAACGCGTATTGGAAGAGCATCCGGTCCAATGCGATATCATTCCGGACACGCATCACTTGAAGACATCGCATAACAATTACACGATTTGCTATCTTGGAAATATCAATCCGTGTTTGCACTGCTACGTTGTTGCAGGCATATGGATCGGATTATGAGCTAGTGAGGAGACTGTTCATAGTTTTCGATATGTACAATTTTACGATAGTAGCAAGTTTTAGTACGTGTGCATTTGATGATCGGCTAGGACAAAACAGAGACTAAACTGGCGAGTAACATGACAGATTATACAGAATAGGATGTTGTAGTATTTACTGTACTAGAGAAAAAAATTGTCTCGATCGTTTCAGAAAGTATTCAAGTGTTTTTGTATAAATAATAATTCAGATCATTAACCAACAAATGTCCAATGATCTGAATTATTATTTATACAAAAACATTTGAATACTTTCAGATACTTAGAATCGCTACAGACGCAGTGTGCGTATAACCGCAGCAATACCAAAAAGCCATTTTGAACATATGGCTTCACATCACTACAGAATAGTTCGAGATTGAATTACACTATTAGCCGGACGGGCCGTGCCTACCAGGCCAGTGCCCAGATTACACGATAAATCAACCCTTCAAACCCGGGCACGATAACTTTGTCCCGTTATTGCGAATTTATTAAGCTGTCCCGGTATCGGATTAAGTGTTTCCGCTAATGGAAGCAAGAAACAAAAGAAGATAAAGCGAATCTATTAAGGTGATCGGTGATAAATGCGATGGTTTCTGGCCCAGGTACCGTTTTCGTAGTAGAAATTTTGCAAACTAGAACAGTTAGGACTTGTTTAGATGCTGATTGAACACGTTGTATTCTGAATTGGAAACATCGAAATTGTTAATTGATTTTCTGACGGGAATCCAAACCAATATTATAAATGCGCAAATAACGCTGTCTTTTACGTTTTCACGCCTCAGCCGCTGAACCAAATTCGATGTATTTTGATATAGAGGTAGATGGGATCTAGGAGAAGGACATAGTCTATTTTTTGTCACAAAAATTAATCTTAAAAGGGGTGAAACAAGGGATGAAGTTTATATGGAGAACCAACCATTTCACAAATAAGTAGTGACTCAAAACACTTATCTACACAGCCCAGTTGCGGGCACCAGCTACTTATACATAAATATATATCATTCCAGCTCCTGTTTTATATCGCTGCGATGAAGCTATTATGTATCCATATTTAGCTGTCAAATTCGAGTGATAAACCGACATTTTAAAATTTTATTACATTAGCTAACATGGCGAGCACCGTGACGGCACATTTTTGTATTATCGCGAGTGTGCCGGCCAATAGCAGCAAAAGAATATCGTAGTGTCAATCAGCCGTACGGTCACAGCTGATTTTAAAACATTTTGATAGTTCTTCACAGTAATTTGACTAACGTAAAAAAGTAGTAACAAAAATAAACAAATTGATATATGTAAATTATTGAATGAGGGGGATCCCATGCAAATCGAACAGAATGTTCGATTTTTATGGGTTCCCTCACTAGATTCTGACTTGGAGACAATGCGACCACCTCGAACATATGCCGTACGTACCCGTTCAAACAATAAAGAATTTTCAAAATCGGTCTAAAATTGACGGTGATATAGGTGAACATACACAAAACAAACATAAAGTCGAACATATAACCTCTTCTATTTTTTTGAAATCGGTGAAAAAAGTGAGGAGAGCATTTTTAATACAGTTGTTCAACTGTATAATAAAAATTTCACTTCTGAAATGAATAACTTT